AAGCTTTGTTTATCATTTACTCAAAATGGTAAATTAATCTCAGAAGGTCATTTTCCTAGCTCACACCCCATATATTATCCGTCCACTTATAATATTTAAGCAATATAAAGAACTGATCGTAATACTAGTATTAAATTAACTAATAGTAATTGAAGTTTTTTATTATTTCATATGACCGGTAATATTTAGGGAGTGAAACAAATATTTTTTAGTGGTAAAAAAATTCAAAGTTTCTAAAATATATAGTAAAAATAAAAATAGGAAAGCATGATATAAGGTAACAAATAAAGATGGGCATCATAATTAAGAAGTTACAACTTGGTTATAACTCCTTATAAATTTACATAAATAGTTGCAACTAATTAAAAATTTTAAAAATAATTATGGGAATCATCTTTAGTAACAAATAATATATGCAATATAAACATATAAAACATATGACTCTGGTAGTGAAAACCAGTGGTAATACGTAGTAAAAATTTCTATATTTAAAAAAATTTAAATATTATTTATTTAAAAACAAATCATATGGAACCTTTGTAATAGAAAAGGAAAAAACTATTGAAAAAATAAAAAATGAGATAATGCTAAATTTAAATATATTTTGATCTGAAAATCATAAGTAAAATTTATTTTTTTTCAACTGTTTTCTCCCTTTCTATTGCAAAGGCCCTATATATAAAGTTGAAAATTTTATATATATTTAATATTTTAATTATTAAAAATGATTTATAATAAATTTTATAATATATTTTAAATTAAAAATTTGTTTAATTGATTGAAAATCATGACTAAATTTGAATAAAAATTTTAAGGGATAGTAATTTTTTAAAAAAATCCATTTTAAATCATTTTTTACTAATAAAATATAATGATTTAAAATGAGTTAGTATTTAACGATTATTTATCGTATAGTAAAGGAAATGATCGATGATCCTGACAGCAGTTACACATGCATGCATATGTTGACTCATTATGTTGGAGAAAGTAAATCAGGCTTTTCGATCGGTTTTTCCGGAACCTCGAGCTTTAATTTACGCCAAATTCTCTAACTTCCTGACTTGTTTCTCGTTTTGGTTGGTATATAAAAACTTGAACAAATTTAAAAACGATAATAATAAGGAAAGAAAAGTTAAAACACGTTTGAGACTTGGGTACTGGACAAGAGAACTTGAGAATAGTTTCAGATGCATATTCTGTTAATCATGTAAATCCAAAATTCCAAAAAAACGTTTATAGAAACAATGAATGTGGGATTTTTTTTTGTTTTACTTTTTTGGAAAATTAATTTTCTTTTTTTAACTGCGGTTTTTTTTCATAATAATTGGATCACATTTTTTTTGATATGCAATTACTAAATTATTTAAACCCTTGCTTTTTATTACAGTATAATTATTTAATCCTTTTTCCTCACTTTTTTTTAAAAAAATGTCTATATTGTATTTATTATTTATTATAATACTTTTACTAAATCTTCCCATCCATGCCAAAAAAACTATTCCGGATGTACTTTATGAAGATCAAAGATTTAGCAATCTAGTTAGGGCTTTACAACGAACCATGCTTTTACCCTATATTAATCATTTAGAAACAGCAACTTTATTTGCGCCTATAAATAAAGCTTTTGAAGATGACCCTCTTATTACCAGAGAACGTATGTTGTATCATCTACTTTTTCAAGAAATTAAAAAAGAAGAACTTCAAAATGGACAATTATTAACTACTCATTTATCGGGAGAAAAACTTGGACCTGGTAATCTTGGGCAAAAAATCAGAGTTGATATTGTTGATATTGAAGAAAAGAATGATACTCAAATTTATGTTGGTAACGGACAAATCATAGATTTTGATTTGCAAGCTGATAACGGTAAGTAGTAAAAAACTTAATAAACCGTTAAATTTTTAATTTAGAATATTAATATTTTTTTAAATCGTAGGAATTATTCATGTAGTCACTGAAGTTTTTCGTACTCCTAGAGATCTATGTAAGTTTAATAATTAATTAAATTTATTAAATTAATTTGTTAGTAACAAAATCGGGTTTTCTATATATATATATTTTATAGATACATCTTTATCTTCTATTGATCAACTTCAAGTTTTTTCCAATTATCTTCGTGATAGAGAAATAGATGATTATTTGTCAAATGAAAATCATATTACTATATTTGCACCTACAAATGATGCTATAAATGTTCAATTACAATTCCATGAAAGACAATATTTAATTGGAGAATGTGGTGGTGGTTTAGATGATTTGGATTTATTTATTAAACATCACTTAAATTATGAAGAAGTTTTATACTCGGAAAAATTTAATGTTGGACTTACAAATGGTTTGAAAATTGATTTTATTAAAATTTATTTCTTTTTAAAATAAATATTAAAATTTCTACCTTCTTTATTATGTAGTGAATACGGTTCAGGGCGAACCAATCAAAGTTGAGAAAGATAAACAAGGCGATATACGTGTTGCTGATGGAAGTGTCCCCTTAAAAGATTTATTGGCCGAAAACGGAGTTATTCATGTCATTAATAATATTGCAATACCAAATGCGCTTCATTTTACAAAACATAAATATCTTTGTGGTCTGAGAGCGACAAAATTTGTAAGAGCAATGATAAAGTTCGGATTACAACATTTTATTGAAGATTCAGACACTCCATATACAATATTGGCACCAAAAGATGAATATTTTGATGAGAATTTAATTAGCATTGGTAAAGAAACTTTAATATATCATGTTTTAGAAGGGAAATATGTAACATCAGATTTATTCAATAATATGCATATCAAGACTGAATTAAGAACAAAAGATTTAAATAATCATAGACAAAGAGCTATCGTTTCCATATTACAAAGATGGTATGGAGAAGATGAAACTCAGAGAACCGAACTTCGATTCAATGATGCTATTGTAGAAGATCAACCAGTTGAAATCGGAAATGCAATCATTTACGTTTTATCAGGAAAATTGAACCCACCACCACCTATTATGAAAATTCTTGGTAGTGATGAACGATTGAATTCAATAAATTTCTTTGTTGCACACAGTAATATGATTTCGAAAGTTAGATCTGCTAAAGGATTTACAATGGTTGCACCATCAAAAAAAGCCTTTACGGAATTAGGATTGATTAATTCCTATTTCTTGCATAAAGATGCGATTGATGATTTAAGATTAGTGTTATCAAATCACCTGATTAATGATACAATGTATAGTGAAGAAATACCAGACGGTGAATCGACCTATTATACATTAGAAGGTGAGCCGATTACAGTTAATAAGGTCAATAATGATATATTTTTTGATGGTGCAAATGGTACATCTGAAGTAAGTAAAAAAGATGTATTAACTTCATCGGGAGTATTACATATAGTTGATAAGGTTTTGATGCCACCAACATTACATATAACAATAGCTAAATTGCTTAAAGGAATTAATGCTCGTACATTTTTAAAAATCGTTAATGCGGCAAATTTAACCGAATTAGTACAAGATCCAATAAACCCGTTTACAATATTTGTCCCATCAGAAGATGCATTTAGGAAAATCAATGTGAGCAAATTAATTACAGACGAAGATTTAGCAGGTAAATGGGCAAGAATACACATAGTGCCAGCAACTATTGACGAATTAAAAGATGGTTACGAAGCACCTACTTTATTAGCCGATGATGTCAAATTAGTTATAAAAAAAGATTTGTTGGGTGGTGATTATAATGTTGAGGTCAAAGGTCAATGGGTGTCTGCTAAATTATTAATTGGTGGTAAAACTTGGAACGGAGGAGCGGTTTACGAAATTGATAAAGTTTTATTGCCTGATTTTAATGGTGAAGATATCGGTAGAATATTTTTAGCCGTCATTGTTGGTCTTTTATTATCAGGATTTGTCGGTATTGGAGGATTTGGTTGTTTTCATTTTTGGGATATCTGGAAAAGAAGTAGCTACGAAGAAATCCCATCTGCATAATTATTATTATAAGTTTAATGATAAAAAAAATTCTAGATTAGTTTTTTGCAGTTTACGTAATATTTTATTTTAATTACATTTATTATTTTTTTTTATTTTTTTTGTTGACATTATAGTACTTAAATCATTGTAAATATTAAGAATACATTTTTTTTTTTTTTCACAGCCTTTTTATTATTGAAATATGTTGCCTTTTTTCCTTTTATTTTGAATAAATAGAAACTTTACATTAATTAATGATTTTTTATTAAAACATTCAGTATTGAATTTATAAATTAATTAATTCTTAAAACTTTTGATTCTTTAATCGAACGGTAACCTTCTAAATTTTCCTTCTTTCATATTAATTTGACTAGCACCAACAGCACTAGGGATTTTAATACCACAACAATCAGGAAATTCTTGACCAAAAGCGTGTACGTGATCAACAACAACATCATCATCATGATCATTTTCCTGTTCTTGTAATTCTTTAGAATTTCCTTCAAAATATATTAAACTTCCAAACATAAAATGTTGCATTATAGGTAACTTTCCAAGCACTTCACCTTTATACATCTTAATCATACCTTCGTTAACTTTCTTCCATTCTTTAACCCCTAAATATTCAAAACATAGAGACGAAGAGGGTTAATTTGTGATATAGATATGAAGAAATTATTATAAATAGACCTATAAAAATTCTTGCCAGATATGTCATCTAACATTGGTGAATTCCATCGGAGGGATGCCGTTTTAATCTACTTAAATATAAAAGTTACTTGGCATCATGATTGAAAAAAAAAACCCCGAAAAGATGTTCAATATTTACCGAGTTTATGAATTTTATACAGGATAAATACATAAAATCTTTGGAAAATTCATCAACAATTTCCTTATCGTGAATTGACTTTGGCTTGATATATTTATGGCCTAAAATAATAAATATTAATGTGATCAACAAATAATTAATTTCTCACTTAATTTGATTATCGATATATTATTTCATACCTATTAATTGAGCCGACCCAAACATAAATGGTAAAAAATGATAATCATCCAACCCCCAAACTCCGTGAGAACCGGCTGGTTCAAGCCAATAATTAAATTGAAGATTCCTCATGACATTTATATACCTTTTAAACAAAAAGAAAAATTATATTTAAAATAATATTTTGAAAATACGATAGAAAGCTTAAAAGTAATATTTACATTTAATACATTGAATACACACTTTTGAAAAACTCTTAATATAATAGATGCGTAATCATCTGATCCGATCAATCCTAATTTTTCAAAACAATATCTATAAATATCAAGACAAATTATTAATTAACTGCGATAAAAAAATTTATAACAAATAAAATAAACACTTACAACCAAGCTATGAAGTTAGCTTCATGACCCGTTCCATAATCTATTCTCTTCCGATTTCCCCAGCTTTCCACAAAATAACGGGAAATTTCTTTAATCGCTGCCGAAGGTAAAGATAAGTTTTCATGAAGTTCTTCTGCATTCTAAAAATCAAATGAAATGACGAATAAATTACTACATGTCGAATGGAAGAACCTAGCCGAATCAACAAGAAAATCAACATTACATTAACAACTCGATCATAGAAATCTCTAAAAGCTGGATTCCCAAATCTACTCTTTTCATTTTGTACCGGTGGTATCTCTTCACAATAATTATTCACTTGATCCAATATCTCCAACATCTTTAACAAAGTCTAGGGAAAAAAAATAGTTAACGTTTTAATCTTATTCAAATAAAGAGAAAATTTAATTAATATTTACCGGAGAAATAAAACATTCGGTAATTAACGATAACCCTTTAACCGAATTATTTAATCTCTCAATAAAACCAATAAAATCGTTAAATGCATCAGACTCATGAAATTTTTCAAGATCTTCTTTGGTAAGTATTTGTCGCTTTGGAACAATAAAAGTTAAAGTAGTAGCAGCCATTTCTGCTTTAAGTTTTGCAGTTGTTCGTATCGGAGTATTATTTGTTATCCAAGCTTGCGAGACCAAATACAATAACACTGTTTTCGTCATAAACATTTTTCATGATATACACGCTATGAGCATATCGGACATTTGCATAATTGGCTGTTACACAATAAATGTGTAACTTAACTATTTATATAGTTTAAAGTCGGATTTTTGATAATTGTTTTATGTAAAAAAAAAAAAAAGAAAGTTCTTTATTGGAAAAAACTCTTTCTCTCTTCTCCCAAAATTTTTGGAAACAAAAATTTTTTTAGAAAATAAAATCGTTTCGCTTTAAAAATCTTTTAATTTTTTCAACTCCG